GCAGTGACATTCTCCTCAGACCGTAATGATCTATCTGCTCCTCAGCACTGTTCACTCGCTCCCAAAGGGCCCTCACAATATCCAGCTTGTCTTACATCAGTTCGCCACCAAGTGGTGCAGGACCAGCCAGTCAATCCGTCTGCTCATTTCCCAAAACATCGGTATAAACTGGAGAAAATATCCAAAAAATGCCAACTACCCAGGACCTCAGAAGTGATCGTTGCCACTATGCATGGAGCATGCCTGTCTCCACCTTTCTCAGTATGCTCTGTGACTTAGTTACAATGACGACATGTGTGTACAGCTGATTCTCAAGCCAGCTTAAGGCCTCTATTGTTGCGCCAAGCGACGTCCATTCGCCTTTGCTATGAACCTCCGTGCCCTTTGTCTGTCCCTCAACACAGAGCCATCTGTATATACAATCACATCACTTGGGCAGGAACTGTCATGAATCATTTGTTGAACTTCTGATTCTGCAGCACCAGCTTGCCAGTCCCTGCACTCACGTCCCAAAGTGATTAGAACACTACACAAGTCTGAAACATAATCGGACACTTTGACCCACTCCTCTCCTCGCCTAAATTTACCAAGCCTGCACACATGTCCAACTGTGTCTATTCAGCATGTGCCATCCAAGACCTTCCTCTTTTCAGTCCGTGACCCTTAGCTCTACCCAGGGCTTCATGCAGGAGGTGCCTCTTGTCCGCAGCTACTCTAAGATGTGACTTTGCTTGAAGAACTTTGATCCTGTCTGCAATAGTAGGCAATGCAAGTATATATCGCATACATACTACCTGGGTATCTCTTGTACATTCCAGAATTACCCGCATGGCTTCATTCTGGATGCGTTCAAGTTTTATCAACTGACTCTTTGATATGCTAAGCATGCCAAGTCCATAATCTATCACCGACAGGATCACACGCTGGAACATTGTAAACAACTATGTTTGTTTCATGTCCATTGCTGCCATAATCTTGAAAGCATTGAATCTTGCATATATTATTGAATAGGGTATCTTTTTCTTTAGGTTGCTGAATATAGGAATCTCTTTCCTAATATTGCTGAATATAGGAATCTCTTTCCTAATATTGCTGAATATAGGAATCTCTTTCCTAATATTGCTGAATTTAGGAATCTCTCTCTTTATATTGTTGAATGTGGTATCTTTTTCTTTAGATTATTGAATATGGGAATCTCTTTATATTGTTCATCACCCAGGTTCTGGAACAAGACAAAAGCCTGGAAGTGGACGAACACCCACAACTTTTGGTCCAGAGTTTACAGCTGGTGAAAGCCAGGAAGAAGAAAAAGTCTCTTGAGAACAGGAAACTCTTTATTATGAACATCGGAACCTCTTTCTTCGTACTATGCACATAGGAATCTCTTTCTTTATTATGGACATCGGAACGTCTTTCTTCGTATTATGCACATAGGAATCTCTTTCTTTATTATGGACATCGGAACCTCTTTCTTCGTATTATGCACATAGGAATCTCTTTCTTTATTATGGACATCGGAACCTCTTTCTTCGTATTATGCACATAGGAATCTCTTTCTTTATTATGGACATCGGAACCTCTTTCTTCGTATTATGCACATAGGAATCTCTTTCTTTATTATGGACATCGGAACCTCTTTCTTCGTATTATGCACATAGGAATCTCTTTCTTTATTATGGACATCGGAACCTCTTTCTTCGTATTATGCACATAGGAATCTCTTTCTTTATTATGAACATCGGAACCTCTTTCTTCGTATTATGCACATATGAATCGCTTTCTTTATTATGGATACATAAGAAGTGGACGAACAACTAAGACTTTGCTTCGGAGCTCACAGTCGGTGAACGCGATGAAGAAGTGTGATGATAGTGAGTTAGGATCCAAACGGAAGAATACTGTTTTCTAACTGACATAAAATCCCAGAAAAACCCAACCAAGCCTCACATGGGTACATGGAAATGACATGAAAAGTCAAGGCAGATATTATCCCTCTGAAGACGCTTATTCCATAACAACATGGTTCCAGTGCCACTTGCCAGAAGTGCGAAGTGTACAAACAGGTGTCGGCACTCCTTGCAACTACGAACTTTAGGGGACGCAATCAACGGTTGTTTACGGCGACAGTAAGGGAAACTATCCATTGTTTGTGTACTTTCACATCTTAATGTTCTGCAATATTCAATACTTAGTAGTTGCGTTAGTGTTAGGTTGAGTGGATGGGTTAGGGTTAGGGTTAGTGGTTGGGTCTGGGTTATGGTTAGGATTAGTAGTTGGGTTAGTGGTTGGGTCTGGGTTATGGTTAGGGTTAGTAGTTGCGTTAGGGTTAGTGGTTGGGTCTGGGTTATGGTTAGGGTTAGTAGTTGCGTTAGGGTTAGTGGTTGGGTCTGGGTTATGGTTAGGGTTAGTAGTTGGGTTAGGATTAGTGGTTGGGTCTGGGTTATGGTTAGGGTTAGTAGTTGGGTTAGGATTAGTGGTTGGGTCTGGGTTATGGTTTGGGTTAGTAGTTGGGTTAGGATTAGTGGTTGGGTTAGGATTAGTGCTTGGGTTAGGATTAGTGCTTGTGTTAGGATTAGTGCTTGGGTTAGGATTAGTGCTTGTGTTAGGATTAGTGCTTGGGTTAGGATTAGTGCTTGGGTCAAGGGTTGTGGTTTGCCAGCTCTCCTGCCTCGTGCTGGTTTTTTGCCAAAGGCATTACTTATATACTGTATTAATAATCTAACCATCCCTTTGTGAGTTGCAATTTTTCGTTTTTTGAAGCCCTACTCTGGCACTTGCCAGGGGCCGCAATATAGCCCGGCCATAAATATGGTCTAAAAGCTGAAAGCGGTTTTTGGGACCTCTCCAGGGGTGATTCTCATCTACATGGTGGCACATTGTGTCATCGGTTGTTTATCGCTTGTGTGATGTCCTGGTGGGGTAAAAGAAGATAGATAGATATATACTGTGCTCATCTTCGTACTTGTCGACTCCTACCCCGCCTCCCTGGTACTATGCCACCAGCTTCTATTCTTGCAATCCCTCATGGCGCTTAAAATGACCAAAATATCTGAGAGACAAGATATGGCTGAATAACTAACTTTCCTTGATGTTCAGATCCCCCCCCCCCCCTCCCCACTGCCCCTTTTTTTTCTTATTATTCCACAGTACTCTGAGAATCTGTCTATAGCATTTAAGCTCAAAATACCCAATTTTCTTCCTTAAAGACTGTGATAAAGTCCACGACTCACACCCGTGTGTTGCTACAGGGAAGATGTGATAAAGTCCACGACTCACACCCGTATGTTGCTAAAGGGAAGATGTGATAAAGTCCACGACTCACACCCGTATGTTGCTACAGGGAAGATGTGATAAAGTCCACGACTCACACCCGTATGTTGCTACAGGGAAGATGTGATAAAGTCCACGACTCACACCCGTATGTTGCTAAAGGGAAGATGTGATAAAGTCCACGACTCACACCCATATGTTGCTACAGGAAAGATGTGATAAAGTCCACGACTCACACCCGTGTGTTGCTACAGGAAAGATGTGATAAAGTCCACGACTCACACCCGTATGTTGCTACAGGGAAGATGTGATAAAGTCCACGACTCACACCCGTATGTTGCTAAAGGGAAGATGTGATAAAGTCCACGACTCACACCCGTATGTTGCTACAGGGAAGATGTGATAAAGTCCACGACTCACACCCGTATGTTGCTACAGGGAAGATGTGATAAAGTCCACGACTCACACCCGTATGTTGCTAAAGGGAAGATGTGATAAAGTCCACGACTCACACCCGTATGTTGCTACAGGGAAGATGTGATAAAGTCCACGACTCACACCCGTATGTTGCTACAGGGAAGATGTGATAAAGTCCACGACTCACACCCGTATGTTGCTAAAGGGAAGATGTGATAAAGTCCACGACTCACACCCATATGTTGCTACAGGAAAGATGTGATAAAGTCCACGACTCACACCCATATGTTGCTAAAGGGAAGATGTGATAAAGTCCATGACTCACACCCGTATGTTGCTACAGGGAAGATGTGATAAAGTCCACGACTCACACCCGTATGTTGCTACAGGGAAGATGTGATAAAGTCCATGACTCACACCCGTATGTTGCTACAGGGAAGATGTGATAAAGTTCACGACTCACACCCGTATGTTGCTACAGGGAAGATGTGATAAAGTCCACGACTCACACCCATATGTTGCTACAGGGAAGATGTGATAAAGTCCACGACTCACACCCGTATGTTGCTACAGGGAAGATGTGATAAAGTCCACGACTCACACCCGTATGTTGCTACAGGGAAGATGTGATAAAGTCCACGACTCACATCCGTATGTTGCTTCAGGGAAGATGTGATAAAGTCCACGACTCACACCCGTATATTGCTCCAGGGAAGATGCCTGCTCTCCGAACTGAGACTTGATTTTCTTCCTTGATTTTGAAACATTTGAGGGTCTAGCAGGGAGTTTCAAACTGCACGACTTCTGTTTCAGACTGTTGACATCCAGGTCAGGTACACCGGGTAGTAACCCCCAGAGTCTTGGCACGAACTTCCGAATCCACTCAGACACTTGCTGTACTCACAGGCATGCATCAGTTTATTGATGAATCTCTATTACCAGATTACCAAATATTACCTTCCTCTGATTAAAAAAGAAAAGGATAACATAACGCGGCTTCTCTTTTGTGCATGTCAAAAGTAGAGCTGTCGTCTTTAAATAGTCATTTTGATGTCATCGTCTGCACCGTGATGTCAAGAACTTAACAGTCTTGACATCCTTAACAACAATAGCATGGTTTTTATAATGTCTATGACATGATACATGTTTTCTTGTGACACCCCTGTGCATGATACTTACAACAATAAGGAGTTCTGCTTGAAGTGACCACCATGTAGACCCCAGGCACTGGTCGGACATTAGCACTGTCAAGGTTAAAGCCCATAACTGGACACGTGGTTGGGTCACATGACCCACAAGCGTCAGTGGCCAGGTCAGAGGCGGACTGGCAGCGCCGGGTTGGGCTGCCGACAGCTGTTGTTGACAGAGGCGATAAAGAGGCTGGTTACTCGCAAGTGTGAGCAGACCACCGCAAACCTCACGGAGTCACTGGTGAAATCTGCCAGATAAATGTTGAACACTATAGTTAGTTGGACAGATAATCCTAGCTGCAAACCTCATGGAGTCACTGATGAAATCTGCCAGATAATGTGTTGAACACTATAGTTAGTTTAACAAATAATCCTTGTTGCAACCCTCATGGAGTCACTGGTGAAATCTGCCAGATAAGTGTTGAACTCTATAGTTTGTTCGACAGATAATCCTTGTTGCAAACCAACCTCACGGAGTCACTGGTGAAATCTGCCAGATAAGTGTTGAACTCTATAGTTTGTTCGACAGATAATCCTTGTTGCAAACCTCATGGAGTCACTGGTGAAATCTGCCAGATAAGTATTGAACTCTATAGTTAGTTCGACAGATAATCCTTGTTGCAAACCTCACGGAGTCACTGGTGAAATCTGCCAGACAAATGTTGAATGCTATAGTTAGTTCGACAGATATTCCTGGTTGCAAAACCTCATGGAGTCACTGGTGAAATCTGCCAGATAAGTGTTGAACTCTATAGTTAGTTCGACAGATCATTCTCACTGCACAGGAACCAGTAACCCCAGAAGTGCTCGTATGTCCACAATATTTTTTTGACTGATTCCTTATTTAGCGCTCTTGTTTAGCTTCACTGACTTTACTTTTAAAGCATCCCAAATATGGGCTTGTCTTATATTCGGCCCCTAAAAAAATGCATCTGTCACATACCAATTGTATATTATCTGCCATGCTTTATAGACAATATTCAAATATTCAGTTTGTTTTCTTCACTTCATCTGTTGCCGCTTCAGGTGTCGAAGGAGATAACAGATTCTACATCTTGCTCTTCTAGAAGCTTCGGCCATAGACGAATCATGTTGTTGTATAGTTTCTCTGATGTCATCTTTCCATTATGTTCGAGGGCGACCTCTTGTTCTATGTCCTTCTCCTCTTTTGTTGAATGCTTTGTATATTATGCTTTGTATACATGCATTCTCTCTACGAGGACAAACTATTTGACTGGCTGAACAAACAATTGCTGTGTGAAAAATGAGCATGTAGGAGAAACCAAGTAAGATGGACATTCGTGCCCACTTGGCCACCCCTATAACATTTAGTTCACTTCTTCACTCTCTCTGCAGTCCGGTCGCAAAACTGAGGGCGGAAAAGAGGGGGTGTGGGAGCGGGGGGGGGGGGGGGGGTCGCTTAAGAGACTTCAGCTCCTACATTCTGGCTGCTATGGGCCTAGAAGCCTTAAAGAAATGTGAGACAAAGATAACCACACAATATAAACACCAGCTAGAGGACAATCAAAACACCTAATAAATAACTCACCAAATGATGACATGACAGCAGAAACTCTGTCCATGACACTGACCGGACAACCAGGCTGGTTGGCGCCACCATTGGGGTAAAAATCCACCGTTCCCATTGGCTCAAAGATTCCTGTTTAATCAAGCGAACAAAACAAAAAAGAGATCATTAAAGATGATCAAAAGGGGCGTTCTAGCGGAATGCCGCCATGAATTTATTCTAATTAGGCACGCCTAAGAACCATGATTTATTTATGTATTTCATCTGAGCTAATTTGATCTCGGCCAAGTTTCGTTTTTCCAAAAATAATAACTGTCTAAAGCAGAGTTATTCATCTGGTGGCACGCAGGCCGAATGCGACACGCAGATGCATAGCAAGTGGCTCGCGGATAAATGCCCGTTGTATTGTGTTGTGATGGGTCTATGCTAGGGCTTGTGGCTCTGGCCTGTGACGATCCCCATTTTCAAGATTTTGGCTCCTGGGTCAACTTGAACAGCCTATGTCTAAACAATTTTTTATTGGCTGGTCAGTCAGTGGGCTGGATGGTTGAGTGGTTTGTGGCTGGTCAGTCAGTCTGCTGGATATTTTGTGGCTGGTCAGTCAGTTGACTGAATGGTTTGTGGCTGGTCAGTCATTTGGCTGAATGGTTTGTGGCTGGTCAGTCAGTCTGCTGGATAGTTGAGTGGTTTGTGGCTGGTCAGTCAGTTGGCTGGATGGTTTGTGGCTGGTCAGTCAGTCGGCTGGATGGTTTGTGGCTGGTCAGACAGTATGCTGGATGGTTGAGTCGTTTGTGGCTGGTCAGTCAGTCGGCTGGATGGTTTGTGGTTGGTCAGTCAGTTGGCTGGATGGTTTGTGGCTGGTCAGTCAGTATGCTGGATGGTTGAGTGGTTTGTGGCTGGTCAGTCAGTCGGCTGGATGGTTTGTGGCTGGTCAGTCAGTTGGCTGAATGGTTTGTGGTTGGTCAGTCAGTCGGCTGGATGGTTTGTGGCTGGTCAGTCAGTATGCTGGATGGTTGAGTGGTTTGTGGCTGGTCAGTCAGTCGGCTGGATGGTTGAGTGGTTTGTGGTTGGTCAGTCAGTCGGCTAGATGGTTTGTGGTTGGTCAGTCAGTCGGCTGGATGGTTTGTGGCTGGTCAGTCAGTATGCTGGATTGTTGAGTGGTTTGTGGCTTGTCAGTCAGTCGGCTGGATGGTTTGTGGCTGGTCAGTCAGTTGGCTGAATGGTTTGTGGCTGGTCAGTCAGTTGGCTGGATGGTTTGTGGCTAATCAGTCAGTCGGCTGGATGGTTTGTGGCTGGTCAGTCAGTTGGCTGGATGGTTTGTTGCTGGTCAGTCAGTTGGCTGGATGGTTTGTGGCTAATCAGTCAGTCGGCTGGATGGTTTGTGGCTGGTCAGTCAGTTGGCTGAATTGTTTGTGGCTGGTCAGTCAGTTGGCTGGATGGTTTGTGGCTGGTCAGTCAGTCTGCTGGATGGTTGAGTGGTTTGTGGCTAGTTAGTCAATCGGTGAGTTTGGTTTGTAAGTTAGGTTTGGGTGGGGTATACTTTACTTCCAAAGACTTATCCTTTGTACATTTTGTAGCTTGGTAGACCTACTGGCTCAGGTCAATTTTAAAAATCCTCCTCGATGGCGTTTAAAACTAACTATTGAAATACAAACCTTGTAGGCACTGGCTTATCGCATCACTCCCGACCATACAAACCTTGTAGGCACTGGCTTATCGCATCACTCCCGACCATACAAACCTTCTAGGCACTGGCTTATCGCATCACTCCCGACCATACAAACCTTGTAGGCACTGACTTATCGCATCACTCCCGACCAAACAAACCTTCTAGGCACTGGCTTATCGCATCACTCCCGACCATACAAAGCTTCTAGGCACTGGCTTATCTCATCACTCCCGACCATACAAAGCTTCTAGGCACTGGTTTATCGCATCACTCCCGACCATACAAAGCTTCTAGGCAATGGCTTATCGCATCACTCCCGACCATACAAACCTTGTAGGCACTGGCATATCGCATCACTCCCGACCATACAAACCTTTTAGGCACTGGCTTATGGCATCACTCCCGACCATACAAAGCTTCTAGGCACTGGCTTATCGCATCACTGCCGACCATACAAACACTTGGGAACACAAACTGACACTCACCCATGCCTACAGTCGGCGTGGTGTCTGTGTGCATGACGTCTACTATAGTGGCGTCTGTGAAATGGAGTCTAGCTTCGGTGGCCACTTCTTCGAATCCAGGTCTAGCAGGGTCCAGTCCTTGTCAGGTGCAGAGAGCAGAAGAATCGGTTTTAGCAATAGGGAAGTCTGTCTGTCTGTCTGTTGTCTGTCTGTCTGTCTGTCCGTCCGTCCATACGTCTGTCTGTTTGTCTGTCTGTCTGTCTGCTTGTCTATCTGTCTGTTTGTCTGTTTGTCTATCTTTTTGTCTGTCTGTCTGTTGGTCTATCTTTTTGCCTGTCTGTCTGTTTGTCTATCTTTCTGTCTGTCTGTTGGCCTATCTTTCTGTCTGTCTGTTGGTCTATCTTTCTTTCTGTCTGTCTGTTTGTCTATCTTTTTGTCTGTCTGTCTGCCTGTCTATCTTTTTGTCCATATAAATATCTACCTGAATATCTGTCTGTCTACTAAATGTAATGTGTGTGTCAATCCGCCCATCTGAATGATCAACTTGTCGGTCCACCTGTCTTTCTTTCCTTCTACCAGTGTGATTGAATGTCTGTCTGTCTTACTCTGTCCGTCTGTTCTACTCGGACTGGCTGTATGTTTGCCTGTTTTGTCTACATATGACCAACCTTCCTCACCACTTGTCAGTATGCCAGCCTATGTATCTATCAATGTATTTATCTATTTATCTCTGTATTTTTTTTAAGCCTAGACAATTTATATTATACAGTTCGAAACCAAGTTAATTATTTTATTTCTTACATACACCAGTGACAGCTGAAGAACCACTAGAGTTATATTTGCGCTCGGAAACCAATTTCTGTTGAAATGATTGAACATCAAAGCTTTCAGGCAGTACGCTGTACTGATACCTTTTTTCTGTGGGGTGGAAAGGGGGTGGGGGGGGGGGGGCATAATTTTGTTTCAGCGCTACTGTAATCCAAACTTCATAGTCAGTACTGGCAACTTTTTCTAGACACTGTGTGGTGAGTACTGTCAATCTTTTATAGACACTGTGTGGTGAGTACTGTCAATCTTTTATAGACATTGTGTGGTGAGTACTGTCAATCTTTTATTGAAACTGTGTGGTGAGTACTGTCAATCTTTTATTGAAACTGTGTGGTGAGTACTGTCAATCTTTTATAGACACTGTGTGGTGAGTACTGTCAATCTTTTATAGACACTGTGTGGTGAGTACTGTCAATATTTTATAGACACTGTGTGGTGAGTACTGTCAATCTTTTATAGACACTGTGTGGTGAGTACTGTCAAACATTTATAAACACTGTGTGGTGAGTACTGTCAAACATTTATAGACACTGTGTGGTGAGTACTGTCAATCTTTTATAGACACTGTGTTGTGAGTACTGTCAAACATTTATAAACACTGTGTGGTGAGTACTGTAGATCATTAATAGACACTGTGTGGTGAGTACTGTCAAACATTTATAGACACTGTGTGGTGAGGACTGTCAAACGTTTATAGTCATTGTGTGGTGAGTACTGTCAAACATTTATAGACACTGTGTGGTGAGTACTGTCAATCTTTTATAGACACTGTGTGGTGAGTACTGTCAATCTTTTATAGACACTGTGTGGTGAGTACTGTCAAACATTTATAAACACTGTGTTGTGAGTACTGTCAAACATTTATAAACACTGTGTGGTGAGTACTGTAGATCATTAATAGACACTGTGTGGTGAGTACTGTCAAACATTTATAGACAATGTGTGGTGAGTACTGTCAAACGTTTATAGTCATTGTGTGGTGAGTACTGTCAAACATTTATAGACACTGTGTGGTGAGTACTGTCAAACATTTATAGACACTGTGTGGTGAGTACTGTCAAACATTTATAGACACTGTGTGGTGAGTACTGTCAAACATTTATAGACACTGTATGATGAGTACTGTCAAACATTTATAGAAACTCTGTAGTGAGTACTGTCAAACATTTATAGACACTGTATGTGACTACTGTCAAACATTTATAAACACTGTGTGGTGAGTACTGTCAAACATTTATAGACACTGTGTGGTGAGTACTGTCAAACATTTATAGACACTGTGTGGTGAGTACTGTCAAACGTTTATAGACATTGTGTGGTGAGTACTGTCAAACATCTATAGACACTGTGTGGTGAGTACTGTCAAACATTTATAAAAACTGTGTGGTGAGTACTGTTGAACATTTATAAACACTGTGGGGTAAGTACTGTCAATTATGTATAGAGACTGTGTGGTGAGTACTGTCAAACATTTATAAACACTGTGTGGTGAGTACTGTCAAACATTTATAGACACTGTGTGGTGAGTCCTGTCAAACATTTATAGACACTGTGTGGTGCGTACTGTTAAACATTTATAAACACTGTGTGGTGAGTACTGTCAAACATTTATAGACACTGTGTGGTGAGTACTGTCAAACATTTATATACACTGTGTGATGAGTACTGTCAAACATTTATAGACACTGTGTGGTGAGTACTGTCAAACATTTATAGACACTGTGTGGTGAGTACTGTCAAACATTTATAAACACTGTGTGGTGAGTACTGTCAAACTTTTATAGACACTGTGTGGTGAGTACTGTCAAACATGTATAAACACTGTGGTGAGTACTGTCAATTATTTATAGACACTGTGTGGTGAGTACTGCTAATCATTTATAAACACTGTGTGGTGAGTACTTTCAAAAATTTATAGACACTGTGTGATGAGTACTGTCAAACATTTATAAACATTGTGTGGTGAGTACTGTCGAACATTTATAGACACTGTGTGGTGAGTACTGTCAAACATTTATAGACACTGTGTGGTAAGTACTGTCAAACATTTATAAACACTGTGTGGTGAGTACTGTTAAACATTTATAGACACTGTGTGGTGAGTGTGCATGACAGCAAAATACGGCAATATTATGTTGAACATCTATATGATAGTAAGCAAAACACAACAGCGTCATATTGAACATCTGTATGAGTCAGCAAAACACGGCAATATGTTGTATTTCTGTATGATAGTCAGCAAAACACAGCAATATGTTGAACATCTGTATGACAGTCAGCAAAACACAGCAGCGTCATGTTGAAGCATGCTCATGTTACCTGTGACTCTGCCGATTCCAGGCAGACGTTTCCCGATATAGCCGGCTAGGTGAGCTCCCAGACTAAATCCAATGATGTGAAAACTTGCCTTGTCACCGCCATGGGCAACCAATTTCTGTGGGGAAACAAATCTAGCGCCAGGTAAACATTGACGAGTTCCGAGGACAAGCTGTGAAGTTTAGTAGCACATAATCAAGGCATGAGTCTGAAAAATGTAATTAACTAGTCGCTTATTATTCTTTACTCAAGATGATGTGGCCCTCCCCCCCCCCCCCCCCCACACACACTCATACCCCAAACCTCTTTTGTCCATCTCATCTTCACGTTCCTGGAGTACAAGTAATAATTATACATTAAACCATATACTGTTCCCAGCTTGAGAACAACGTTTGGCAAACCATTTACTGTTCCCAGCTTGAGAACAACGTTTGGCAAACCATATACTGTTCCCAGCTTACGTTTGTTCGCGAGACGACGGTTCAAAGACTGTTCCCAGCTTGAGAAACAACGTTTAGCAACGTTTCGCGAGACACAAATCGTTTTTGGATCATGAAATGAGAACAAGGAATCTGGAACATTTTATGATCACGGCAAAAAAGAGTCATAGGAGGACAATGTGACAAGATTCTCGACCCATTATTCTGCAATGTGTCTTGGCATGGAGGGGTGTCAGCGCATGAATGAATACATGCTGTTGAAGGTCGCAGATTGTTGAGAGGCATAATGGCTCACGATAGTCGGCAATGCACCTAATGATAATGATGTTTACGTCAAGAAATTGTTTATGTCTGTCAGGCAATATCCTGCTTTCAGGCAAAATTTGTCCCTTACAGTTAGGGAAAAAAATGCTGTTTCAAACGATCTTTGCCACCATTGTTCGGTATTCTGGTTGCAGTAATGTTTAGTGTCTTTGTCTATCCAAAGTCTTGAATGAATCTTTGTCTGTCTTAATAGAGGTTTCCACGAGTTATGGTGTGCATGACTCACAACTGGGAGGAAATCTGGATAACAGACATTTAGACAAGTCGATCCCCATGGAAAGGTAAGTAGACAGACATGTAGACAAGTCTATTCCCAGGGAAAGGTAAGTAGACAGACATGTAGACAAGTCTATCCCCAGGGAAAGGTAAGTAGACAGACTTGTAGACAAGTCTATCCCCAGGGAAAGGTGAGTAGACAGACATGTAGACAAGTCTATCCCCAGTGAAAGGTAAGTAGACAGACTTGTAGACAAGTCTATTCCCAGTGGAAGGTAAGTAGACAGACATGTAGACAAGTCTATCCCCAGTGGAAGGTAAGTAGACAGACATGTAGACAAGTCTATTCCCAGTGGAAGGTAAGTAGACAGACTTGTAGACAAGTCTATTCCCAGTGAAAGGTAAGTAGACAGACATGTAGACAAGTCTATCCCCAATGAAAGGTAAGTAGACAGACATGTAGACAAGTCTATTCCCAGTGGAAGGTAAGTAGACAGACATTTAGACAAGTCTATCCCCAGGGAAAGGTAAGTAGACAGACTTGTAGACAAGCCTATCCCCAGGAAAAGGTAAGTAGACAGACATGTAGACAAGTCTATCCCCAGTGGAAGGTAAGTAGACAGATAAGCTAATTAGTTTGTCTCCGGGAGAAGGTAAGTAGACAGATAAGCTAATTAGTTTGTCTCCGGGAGAAGGTAATTGAAGAAATCAAGAGTTTACCCTTTAGTAAAAGGTCAGAAGACAGACAAATAGAACTATTTAGCTCCAACAGAAAGTAAGTATACAGATGAACTGAACAGTTTAGCTCCAACAGAAAGTAAGTATACAGATGAACTGAACAGTTTAGCTCCAACAGAAAGTAAGTATACAGATAAACTGAACAGTTTAGCTCTAAGAAAAGGTAAGAGGATAGACTGGCACACACACACACACACACATATACACACACACATACACACACATACACACACATACACACACATACACACACATTCACACACATACACACACGGTGTAGGCCAGGGGTCCTCGAGCTTGAGTATTTAGGGCCCCGTGACTAGTGCTGACGACATGGACTGCGCAGGTAAGAATTTTATTTGTCCCCGACAGAAAGAGAATAGACACAGGTGGGTTGTCAAGGATATGAGGATATACAAAAACAACTATTTACATTTAAGAGAAGGTAAGTATATAGACAAATATAGCAGTTCCCCTCCAGGAAAATGTAGGTAGAGAAAAAATATAGCAGTTCCCCTCCAGGAAAATGTAGGTAGAGAAATATAGCAGTTCCCCTCCAGGAGAATGTAGGTAGACAGACAATTAGAACGGTGACTTCCACGAGACAGTAAGTAGACAAAATGTTGAAATGTTTACCTCCGGAAGACGATTAGCAAACAGAGTAGAAAAGTTTACCCCCAGAAAGATAAGTAAACAGAGATGTAGAAAAGTTGACCTGCAAGAGACAGAGATGTAGAAAAGTTTACCTGCAAGAGACAGAGATGTAGAAGAGTTGACCTGCAAGAGACAGAGATGTAGAAAAGTTGACCTGCAAGAGACAGAGATGTAGAAAAGTTGACCTGCAAGAGACAGAGATGTAGAACAGTTGACCTGCAAGAGGCAGAGATGTAGAAAAGTTGACATGCAAGAGACAGAGATGTAGAAAAGTTGACCTGCAAGAGGCAGAGAAGTAGAAAAGTTTACCTGCAGCAGAAGTGCGGTGATTGCGGCAACCACACGAGCGTTGGCGACACTCTGGAAGTAGATGAGGTTGCTGGAGCCGCCGTCCCAGTCCACTACCAGAATGTTCATGTTCGCATCCTGTCAGTACATCAATAAAATTCGAATTATTGACAATTCAGCCAACCTTAGATTACTGAGATTTGTGGAAACGGACGCTGTAAACCGGTTCAGTCCAGAATTATGCAGACAAAAGAACAAGCTCCTAACCTTGCCTTTATGTTGGTGAAACCGACAGTTTTTGAATGTTGTAAATTTAGTTTTTCATTTCTAAGGACTCATTTATTTGCTTCATTTTAATCAGTTGGTACTGAAGTTTACAGCGAAACACGCCAGTTTGTGTCTTTTTTGTTCAATTTCACAAGGAGAAACGTTGCTTGGACATACATGAATTTTCATTATCACATTCCGTAATTACACAAATAAATGTTCTGTCTTATATCCTATAAATAAAACACACCAGTGGTCACTGTTGCAGCTTGTAATGACATACACCAGTATTCATTCTTACATCATGTACTGTCATACAACAGTATCAATATGTAATTCTTGTAATCACATACAATAATACCCATATACAAATCATGGTATTACATACAACAGTGAACGCTGTTACATCCGGTAATAAGATCAAACAGTGCTCATTCTGAAATCCTTTAATGATTACATCTGGACTCTTTGCTGTTTGTGTCCATGACAAAGATGTCATAGCACGCCAGACACAGCCCTCCACTGACTGGGGGCTAGCCCAGCCCACCGATGGCGTGATTGATCCGGCATTTTGATCTCAGCCAACAGATAGAGAAGCGATCATACAAGTTATAATTATGGCATCCACAACGTCTGCACCAAAACCTACAACGCACTACAAAAATGTCCTGGTCCCCAGGCCAGCACTCACACAGACAACTTTGCGGGTGGCGGTAGCGGGTGCCCTGATTGATAACAACAACAGCAACAACAAAATTAGGAGTTCACACACACGCAGGGATTATTTTTGTATGAGGCTAAGATGTCAGTTTCAACCTACAATAGATATTATCTTTTGTTGGTAAATTTCAGATGATTTTCTTTATTATTAATATACCAAATAAGAATAATAATATACTAGAACAATAAGAAATGATTCGTAACGAACTACTTGTCAAGAAAATGTTTCCACATGGCTAAAGGGAGCCGCTTACTGTTGTTACAAAAGTATTGGGGGGGGGGGGGGGGGAAATTGGGGTGGGTGTGGGGCGGGGATGGAGTTGGCTCAAAGGACCTGAGCGCCTAGGTTGCGGCACCTTTGCTGTACGAGCAAAGGACCTGAGCGCCTAGGTTGAGGCACCTTTGCTGTACGAGCAAAGGACCTGAGCGCCTAGGTTGCGGCACCTTTGCTGTACGAGCAAAGGACCTGAGCGCCTAGGTTGAGGCACCTTTGCTGTACGAGCAAAGGACCTGATCGCCTAGGTTGATGCACCTTTGCTGTACGAGCAAAGGACCTGAGCGCCTAGGTTGCGGCACCTTTGCTGTACGAGCAAAGGAACACTTCCTCTGCCTTAGTATATGGGGTCCCAGAATCCACATATTTAGGGGGGGGGCAAACGGACTAAATGACAAGATGGGGTGCTAAAAAGCAGTTACCTTTAGAAACAGTTGATGCGACAAATCCCGTATCCAAGAGCTGAACCCGTTTTCGAAATACCCGTGCACAAGTATCACAGTCTTGGCAGAGGAGTTGTAGGTCCTGGCCACAATCTGTGATTAAGTTACTGAGGAGTTACAATTCTTCCAACAATGTTATTGTAGAGTTATAATTCTTCCTGTCAAGTTATTGTAGATAAACAATTCCTCCTGTCTAGTTATTTTAGAGTTACAACTCTTCCAGTAAAGTTATTGAAGAGTTACGATACTTGCAGCGAAAGCATTGTACAGTTACAATCTTCATGTAGAGTTAATGTAGAGTTGCAGTTCTTGATATCACGTTAATGTAGAGTTACAATTTTTCCAGTCAAGTTAATGTAGTGTTACCATTCTTCATATGACGTTAATGTAGAGTTACAATTCTTCCAGTCAAGTTAATGTAGTGTTACAATTCTTCCAGTCAAGTTAATGTAGTGTTACAATTCTTCATATGACGTTAATGTAGAGTTACAATTCCTCCAGTCAAGTTAATGTAGTGTTACAATTCTTCAGATTATATTTTTTTTTTTAGAGTTACAAATCTTCTTATCAAGTTATTGTAGAGTTACAATCTTCTTATCAAGTTATTGTGAAGTTACAATCTTCTTATCAAGTTATTGTAGATTTGGAATATTTGATATCAAGTTATTGTATAGTTGGAATCCTTCGATCTTCTCCTGATTATGTCTCCAAGTGTTTTTCGGCTAACAACACCCATTATTCTGCAACAGTTAGCACCATTATACCTAAGGTAATTTACTTAAACACCGGTATATAGCAATGATATTCTAAACTAACGGTTACATGGCGCTTGAAACATGACGTAATACACACTGTGCGAGCAGAACCGCGGAGTCATCGCGTTGCTGAGCGGGCGACGCCAAAGTTACCCCTGTTATAATGTCCTCTATATTACCGTTCGTATTGTTGATGGAGGTTGTAATGATATGATGATGATGAGGAGGGCGATGATGATGATTATGATCATGACGACGATGTTCTACTCCTACCACTAAAGTGTACGTTGAGTTGTCGTTTACAGCGAGGTCGCGTTATATCAGCCTTTCTGTCCAACAGATCGGATTTCAACAAATTTCTGAATCACGGGTCTCCAGCCTATCTGTTTTTTAGGTTGGGCACCCTTGAGTTTAAGGCAGGAGCCCCCCCCCCCCCCCCCCCCCCCCCCCTCCTACTCTCCCACTTAAGTATATGCCACCCCCACCCCACAACGTAGCATGATTGTCTCATTATTCATATGATTATTTATAGTACAGTTGCTATCGTATCCACAACCCATATCAGGGCAATATGTAAAAGACAATACAAATTACATATCGGTCACATAAATAATTACACGATAAATAAATATAAAATAGGGAATCTATACTCTGTGAAGTCGATAAACCCTATATATCACAGTTAAAGCTCTGAGGTTTGAACAAGGTATTTTTGAAAAAAAAAAATTACTTCCACTGCTACTTGTTGGGAAGGGGGGAGGGTGCTTGGGGGGGGGGGGGGGGGTGTGATTATTTTATCACGATGCACACGGTGAGATAGCGAGGGGAAAGCACTGTAGTCCCAGCAGTATAAAATATGCCCGCTGCTAAAACAAGGAAAGAAACACAATATAAGCATCGTACACACGGGCTGTTGGACAGGAACTCACCTGCTCAGCGTTGTTGATATTAAAAAACTGTACTGCTGATCCGGTGTTCAAGAAGTGGAACTCCAGGCCTATAGTGTCGGGGTGCTGTGGTGCTATTCCGCCTGTGTTGTTGTACGGGTAGGATGTAGGAAAGCAGCCAATGGGAGGATCATCATAGCAGCTGCTCCACCAGTTGGGGAACAACCAGCCTGAACAACTCAGTCAACGTTAGGGAGAGAGTTGTAGAGATGACAGAATGGCTAATGTACACAGACAGACAGATAGGTAGACAGACAGACGTGCAGGCAGACAGACAGACAAGTAGACGAACACACAGAAGATCAGTGGGAATCACAAACTAGCTTCCGATCAAAAGATTAGGAGTCATACACAAACTCACAGACCAGCCTCCTGAGCTTCAACCTCCTTTTTTCTCACAACCATTTCTCAGACAGACAGACAGACAGACAGATCAGTTGATCAATAAATCGGTAGATAGATAGATAGATAGATAGATAGATAGATAGATAGATAGATAGATAGATAGATAGATAGATAGATAGATAGATAGATAGATAGATAGAAAAGATAGGTAGATAGATAGATAGATAGATAGATAGATAGATAGATAGATAGATAGATAGATAGATAGATAGATAGATAGATAGATAGATAGATAGATAGATAGATAGATAGATAGATAGATAGATAGATAGATAGATAAGATAGATCAAGATAGATAAATAGATAGATAGATAGATAGATAGATAGATAGATAGATAGATAGATAGATAGAGAGACGAGAGAGATAGAGATAGATAGATAGATAGATAGATAGATAGATAGATAGATAGATAGATAGATAGATAGATAGATAGATAGATAGATAGATAGATAGATAGATAGATAGATAGATAGATAGATAGATAGATAGATAGATAGATAGATAGATAGATAGATAGATAGATAGATAGATAGATAGATAGATAGATAGATAGATAGATAGATAGATAGATAGATAGATAGATAGATAGATAGATAGATAGATAGATAGATAGATAGATAGATAGATAGATAGATAGATAGATAGATAGATAGATAGATAGATAGATATAGATAGATAGACAGATAGATAGTTTGGTAGACAGATAGATAGATAGTTAGATAGATAGATAGATAGATAGATAGATAGATAGTAGACAGATAGATAGATAGATAGATAGACAGATAGATAGATAGTTTGGTAGACAGATAGATAGATAGTTTGGTAGACAGATAGATAGATAGTTTGGTAGACAGATAGAGTTTAGACAGATAGATAGACAGACAGATAGATAGACAGATAGATAGATATAGACAGATAGACAGATAGATAGATAGACAGACAGATAGATAGACAGATAGATAGACAGACAGACAGATAGATAGATAGACAGATAGATAGACAGATAGATAGACAGATAGGTTGGTAGACAGATAGGTTGGTAGACAGATAGACAGAAAGACTGCATTTTGCGCCTAAGGTTTCACACTTAATGTTCTACGCCAACTTCATCTTACGGCATGCTTGTTAACTTCATGTGCTCTTTGTTTTTAAAATGGGTGCTGGTAAGAAACAGGCCAGTGGAGACCAACCTCTCTGTAAAGAGTTGAGTTTCAGTTTTACGCTCAGTAGTTTGCCATTCCATTGCAAACGGTCTGCTCTCGATGCCACTGTCGAAAACAATGCAAAGCGATCTTCATCCAAATCGCCCACAGCTGAGATCGAACCGGACACCTCGGAATTATACAGCGCATTCACAACGCCTAAAGCACAACCCACCCCGTCCCCCACCCTTTTCCCATACAAATAAAGCATCTTACCATGCGAGATGCCCACTACACACAGCTTTGTGTACAGGCCAACCAGCACAGCAGTCAGGACCTTCATGGCTCTTGTGTTCTTGCGGCTCTGCTAGTCGTCTCTTTTAGATCGAAACTGCATCTTGATGATGATGATAACTGTGCACACTGAATAAATAAACACCTGCCGCATTAGAGGTGGGGGATGTGGTGATGTGGGTGGAGGTGGTGGAGTGGGTGGAGGTGGTGGAGTTGGTGGAGGGGATAAAGTGCGTGTGATAACATGTGTGCAGTTGTGGCGATAATATATGTGGGAGTGAAAATATGTGTGTGTGTGTGGTAATGTATGTGTGGTGTCAGAATGTGTATGTGTGAGAATGTGTATGTGTGATAATGTGTGTATGCGTGATAATGTATGTGGGGTGATAATTTGTGTGTGTGTGATAATGTGTGTGTGATAATTTGTGTGCGATAATGTGTGGGTGATAATGTGTGTGGGGTAAAATGTTTGTGGGGTGATAATTTGTGTGGGGGTGATATTTTGTGTGTAGGGGTGATAATATGTCTGTGTGAAAATGTGTGAGTGTGTGTAATAATGGGGTGATAATGTGTGTGTGTCTATCTATCTATCTATCTATCTATCTATCTATCTATCTATCTATCTATCTATCTATCTATCTATCTATCTATCTATCTATCTATCTATATCTATCTATCTCTATCTATCTATCTATCTATCTATCTATCTATCTATCTATCTATCTATCTATCTATATCTATCTATCTATCTATCTATCTATCTATCTATCTATCTATCTATCTATCTATCTATCTATCTATCTATCTATCTATCTATCTATCTATCTATCTATCTATCTATCTATCTATCTATCTATCTATCTATCTATCTATCTATCTATCTATCTATCTATCTATCTATGCTATCTACCTACCCTGCCTACTGATTAATGATCCTGATCTGCCTGCCTGTTGTGCCTGTCCTGCCTGTCTGCCTGCCTATTGTATCTCATCTATCTATCTGTATGTCTATATCTACCTGTCTGTCTGTCTGTCTGTCTATATCTACCTGTCTGTCTGTCTGCCGGTCGGCCGGTCTTCCTGTCGTATCCATTTGCCTGTTTACTCTATCTCAGCAAATCAAAATCTATCAGAAAGCACACTATCTCAGCAACTAGCACAAAATATCTAGCAACAGAAAGCCCACACAATCTCAGCATCAGAAAGCATCTATCTCAGCATCAGAAATCTACACAATCTCAGCAATCTAGCACAAAATCTACCGCAAACATTTAAAGCACAAAATTTCAAGCAACAGAAAGCACAAAATCTCTGTCTGAAAGCACAAAATCTCAGTCTGTCACAAAATCTCAGCAACAGAAAGCACAAAATCTCAGCAACAGAAAGCACAAAATCTCAGCAACAGAAAGCACAAAATCTCAGCAACAGAAAGCACAAAATCTCAGCAACAGAAAGCACAAAATCTCAGCAACAGAAAGCACAAAATCTCAGCAACAGAAAGCACAAAATCTCAGCAACAAACCTTTTTCTAGAAAACATCCCCTGGCTGTATCCTGGCTTTATTCAACAAGAGCACACACACACACAAATCTGGACAGCTGGCCGACATGAACCAATAAAGTGCACATAGACATGTCCTAATGAGCTTAGGTAAACACAATAACACACACACACCATACAATGACACACACACACATGACACACACACGCATACATCCTAATCATACATCCTAATGACACTTATGACACACACACATACATTCTAATAACACACACACACATACATCCTTATGACACACACACATACATCCTTATGACACACACACGCATACATCCTAATGACACACACACGCATACATCCTAATGACACACACACATACATCCTAATGACACACACACGCATACATCCTAATGACACACACACGCATACACAGATATTTCCTAATAACACACACGCTGACACTCATGGGCGCTCCAACGCACAGGCTTATGTCCCATGTGAGCGCGACTAACCCCTGACCCCTGAATAATTTTAATAGGGGGGGGGGCGACCAATAACTATTTCAGAAAGTCTCATGTGAAGTATATGTTTATTTATACGCCTTTTTATTTCACATTGACTTTGATTTTGTTTGCTGTTCAGTAAAGTGTTGTTATTATTATTACATATTTAAACAAAGCTTAGGTTCCTTGAGAAGTAGAACTAGCCGGCTTCACATGATCACAGACACGACAAGTAAACGATTGCGGCTTAAAAGTCTTCATTAGTACATTACATGGATTAAACAACGTTACAGTTACGACGAGGAATATACAAAAATCACTCAACTGCAGCATCTGGGAGTGAAACCACATATCTGTCTGGTTAGTTGAAGCTGTGACACGCGTATGAACACAGTAAATGGATACAAATCAGAAAAAAGCTATGGCAGGAAAGGTCCACTGAGCCCACTACCTCTCCTCTCTCTCTTCCTGTCCCCTCTTTCATTTCTAGAAAATATGTAAGAAGACTGGACACCACCCATAATGGTTTCTTTGTGTCAGCGCCCCTGCCAGACACTGACCCTTGACCTCAAACAACTCCAAGCAGCATGGGACAGACTAGGTCGTCATCAGCTGGCAAGTGATAAAACTTGGACAGCCAGCAAGTGGGAGCACACAGACACTTGAGCCCCTGGGTTATTGCTCACCCACTCGTGTTTGCAAATATGCAGAAGGTGGGTTGTACGACAGCAAGACGCTGATTGCCTGGGTTGAGAGGGATGTGTATCGTCATCAAGTGTCATCTCCGTCTTTACGGTTCAGTGCAATTTGTAATTAGCATCGCCTCTGCGGCAGTTGAATGCACACTAGTTGCTCCATCTATAGATTGTGTCGTTCAGCAGGATTCTGTCTGCCCACATAAAGCGCTGTTTTTCTCCTCCCTGCTTCCCTTCTTATTAAAAAAAAATTGAAGCAACTTCAGAGACTGGAAAATGTATACACGTCGGTAGTAAAGTTACTGCAGATAGGGATTCTGAAAAAGATTTAACATCGAGAATAAATGAAGCAAACCAAATGTTTGACACAGCCAGCACTAAATGGAGGTTAAGGGGACTTAACTCAGATTACACAAGAGCAGCATCTAAGGACAACCACGATACCGTAGTGAGAGTTGGACAATGACAGCAGGAGATAACATACACCAGAGACTTTACAAAATGAGAGAATCATGTCAATATGTTGGACAGACAAGTGAGAGAATACTGTCAATATGTTAGCCAGACAAATGCGAGAATCCTGTCAATATGTTGGACAGACAAGTGAGAGAATCCTGTCAATATGTTGA